TATAGTAACAACTTTCTCTAGTGGGTCTTTTAGGTGCACCTTACTCATACAATATAAGGTTAACACCTTATATAAACTTTTTTCTTTTTTTTTTGTTGTACCTTTTTTATTTTTAACCAAATCACCCCTGATTGGGACCTCTCAAGGTTCAAATTTGAACTTATGTATGAATGCATGGACTAGTGTTTCTCATACAAGGAATGAAACAAACATCGGACTTAGAATGTCTATAGTAGTTCCAAAAACATAACGTAGGGCTCCATTGGGAAATATATAAATAACTAAGTACAAACTTTGGATCTTGAATATCCAAAGCTCATGGTAAACTTCAAAGCCTCAAAGTTTTTTAGAAAAATCTATAATTCAATTTGAACTTTCAAGGTCCATACTTTTTCTCTTTTAGGGGGACAAATTTGAACTTTGAAGGTCCAAGTCAAGTGTATGACAAAAACTTTATGAGACTTTGATTTTACAGTTAAAACTTCAAACCTTCAAAGTACGAAGTATGGTAAAAAATACAGAAAAAGGTATAAACTTAAAAATAAAAATTTAGAAAGATTTTTAAACAATGGGATTTGGGGGGATACCGGCATAAATGTCTCTAAAATAAAGACCATGAACAATGATAATTTTAAGTGTCAAAGGTGAAATTTGATATTTATTTCTTTGCAAGAAATATAATGAAGTTTTTTTCTCGAACTTGTGAGCATCGTCAATAATAGATCTCCCACTATTTGATTTCATATAGGGGCTGGGGTCCTTTTGATCTTTTCTAAAGTGAAATCAAACAACTTCACTAAGTACTTTCCCCGAAAAAGAACGGTTTGGTAGGCTAAAAATTCAAGTTTAGGGATAGACTTTGAATCAATATTGCTGCAACACTTCACTTTGTGGTAATTATTTGTATGTCAACAAATTATTAAATTTCAACACACGTCGACGCTTGATGACATAAAGCTATATAAAAAGCAACCAGATATTTTAGACGTGCTATGATAAAGTTCACTGTTCTTATAAATTCTCCCCATCCACTCGTTATGTGGTATAGAAAGGAAAATTGTATTACATATAATTAATTTTTTATGTATAAATAATTATTGTACAAATGTATCTAACCGCATCGACCTTTTAAATCAAAATATTAAGTACCGTCAACACATAAATGCCCACACTTTAGCCAGTCCAATATAACGCTTCTTCAAAGGCCATTGACTCATAATAACGAATTTCACCTAATCTTGATACCTAAATATGTGCTAACAAAATCCTCTCTTGAATTTATTAATGAAGGGCATGTGTCCATATTCTGCAATCCCTTGACCTCTTTCACAGATCAGGTTCCTTGTATCGAATAAACTTCAAGTCAATGCCAGGAATTACCTACATATTCTAAGAATTAAGGTTGAATGCATCTGCAACTCAATGGAGTGCAGTAGCATCATGTGATGGTTAGGCATGCCAAACTGTCAACGGTGGTATTCTCTGTGTGTGCGGCCCCACTTTCAAGAAGTTGAAATTAAATGTATCCCACCTTCTCTTTCTTGAGACAATGCATCATGTGGAGGACACACCAATCAAGTGAAGCACATGCATTGACAGGGTGGTGCATTACCTACTTCTTTTTCTTGCTCCTTTTGCTTCCATTTTTCCACAGGAATCAAACACTGTGGGAACATCTTATGCTTGCGGTATCAGTTTTAGAGGCATTGAGGTTTTGGTGCCTCAGCCGACACATCGGCTGGCATTGGGATCCGAAATTTCAAGGGTAGATAATTTCAAACATGATGAACATGAATTTCGAAAATGAATAAATTTTAAGTTAAAAACTAGTAGAGTTTGAGCTTGTTCTTAGCACCTTTCGTATTACTTATTTATAAATCATCAACTGTCAACCCTTGTTAGAGCGGCAAGAAGATCAACTTATGTTGAAACCGTGATTTAAGCCGTGTCATGTCCTAACTCTGCGGAAAAACTAGGTGCACTGATAAGTTTGGGGACTCATAGTAGGCTTTTCCTTTCTTCTTCTACTAGGTATCCTGTTTCATTGTTTTTTTTTTTGGGAAAATTTTCTTGCATTGCACAGATCGTATGTACTTGTTGGTCGGATTGTTTTGCTCCGAACAATGTTTAAAAGGGAAATGTATATAATACGACTATTAATTGTTGGTAATAAGGAGATCACAATTACCGCTTACTTATATGTGAAATTAGGTGGTTGTCATTGACTAGCCACAAAGATCAACATAATTTTTTTTAATATACACTTTTTTTTTTGGATAATTCATTGGGGAAGACAGGCCCTACTGTTTTTTTATATAGATTAGGACGTTATTTTATTTTATTTTTTTTAAGGTGTTACTGGGTGGTATTAGCAAGATTGGAAACCACGATATGATAGGAGCTACCACCACGAGCCAGCCCCTTTTCTATTATGACACACTTCAATGTGTTAAATTTCACATCCAATTTGCTAAAAATGATTATCACCTCCTGGTACCAAAAACCAATAGTTGAATTAAAATCATAAAGTCAAACTAAAATCACCAATTTGACTTAAGATCAAATCAATTTTTGTTTTCTATTTTTTATTTTTCTAAGTTGATAAAAATACCATTATAAAAATTCTGCACAACCAGAAGCCCATACAATTACACAGCATTTAGAAGAGGGGAAAAGTTTATATAAGGTTGCAACCTTAAAAGGTAGAATTACATATCTGCCTCAAAAATCTATCGGAAAGATTGTTTTAATATTGAAAGACCCTCTAATTGATTACCTTAACATCGAGATGTATGAATATGAAAAAAAGAAGAAGAAAAAGTTTTTGAGTCACAGAAATAGTGCATCTTGAAACACATTATCTAGACCATCAATTTTCAAAATTTTCATATATTTATAGATCTACTTGATTTTAACCATTTTTTAAATTTAAAATTTTCTAATCAGATATGAAAATTGATTTTATGATAATCTTAAGAATTTTTTACAACAAAACACATGTTACAATAAAATTTGGAGGTGCGTCTTAATTGGATTGTTTAAAGTCACAACCTTATAGAAACCACACCCGTATAAAAGAGAGGGAAAAAAAAAAAAAAACTAAAATGGAGCTGATAAGATCATGTCACTTGGAATCTCTGATGCTTCTAGAAAATGATCCACTAATAAGGTCAAATAATTGAATTTTTTGCAGAATCATTGCTTGTTTTAGTACCCCTTAGTTGCATAATCATTGCTCGTTTTGGTCCCCTTATTGTGGTGAGTCTATCTGCTTGTTGATTGCTTTTCAAATTTTGTTTAAAAAGGCCCTTCCATGTGTCAAGGAAATTTGGAAAAAGTAAACAAAGAGACAATTTACTTTTCACACAAGGGAATCACAATTATTTTTGTCTTTCACAATTATTTTTGTCTTTTATATTTCAAAGTGGTTGTGAGTATAATTTATTTACTAAACTAAAAAATTCGAAAAAAAAAAATTTGAACTTTACCACGCACTCCAAGCCGTCCAATTTGACATTTTAATAACTAGTAGCAATTATGACCTCCTTTAATGAAAAGACAAAGGAGTGATATCATGCCACGATTCTATAATATTATAATAAAAACCATGTTAAGGCTATTTTGACTACAATTTTTAAACACACAATATTTTCATTGTTATGAATAGTCACAAAACTGCAAAATTTGGAAATATATCTTTTAAAATGTTTTTTAAGCTCAATTAATATAGGCCTTCTATTTTGGTGAGAAGTTTAGATTTTTTAGATCTTAGAAAGATAGTTTCCCTTTTCAATTAAATGGCTATATTCTTATTATATGAATAATGTTAAAAAAGAAAAAAACTGGTTTAGAGTTCGCAAAAGTCTAAATCCTAAAATTTATCAAATAGATGTTATAGACTCAGTGTTGGAGGGGACTCATTTTGAGTACATCTAGAGTGTAAATTGAATTTTGTTTTCTAGAGGTTGAATATTGGGATAAAAAGAAGGTGTATGCAACTTTTAGGCTCAAATAAATGATACAAACATGATTTTTCTAAAAGTGTGGTTTCATCATATTATAATGAGTCATTTTGTACCTTTCACTTTGTATTTTTGAATAAGCTCTTGAAGGTTCAGGTAGTATTGTCTTTCCATAACCTAAGCGAAAAAAGTAAATTATGCATTTGCTTAGGTTGTAAAGCAACGGGATCAGTCTCATCCTTCAACCGCTGCTGCAGCGCTTGCAATTACCTTCGGTAGAGTTGTCTAACACCATTTTTGAAAAAAGATCTAACAATAACTTATCGTCCATTTACCTCCACTCTCTCTCTCTCTCTCTCAACTCTCAATCTAGATGGAGTCTCGAAAAGCGAGCTGCGCAGTGTGATCTTCACATAAGAATCTCTCTGTAGCTCAGGTTGATTAATAGTAAGCTAAAGGTTGCTATTTCATAACTGGGTTGAACAGTCTCTTGGTTGCCGCATCTGGTGGTTTTGAATAACCTGAAGTGCCAAAGGCTTTTTGGAGCCGCCCTCTATGTATCTATGCTGCTTTGCTTCACTTACTAAGTTAAGTCATCTTCCCTCTAAGTGAAGCTGCAACCTAAAGTTATTTACATTAGGGCTATCTAAAGATACTGAAATACCACTTGCATAGAGATACAAAGCATGCACTTCTCGTGTCGCGAGTGATTGAATGCCGAATTCCGTTACTTTGGATGCAAAGAAAGAGAAGGAACTAGAAGAAGCTAAGCTCCAAGATCAGAGGAGTCGGGTTAAAGGACGGTTCTAAGACTAATGCTCATGTTGATCCCCAATCATTTATTACTACTCATTTTCTAACAATTTGCTGATCTGGATCTACCCATAAGTACCGATTCAGCCATCAGATCCATTTTTCAGAACATTGTTCCAATTTCCCTATGTATCAAGGACTAAACAAAAACAAACCATCAAATTAAACATGGATGATGCTCATAGTGGACAAAATTGAGAACAGCTCGACCGCAAACTTATTCCCTCAACACAACAACTAATAAAATCGAATTCACTGGTTACAAAATAAACATCAGTCTCTCTTTACCTTTCCCCCCTCTATTTCATGGATTCTCAGGAAAATGAATTACACAGATCTCTCTGTCTGTCTGTCTCATTCTGTTAAGGAGTAAAAATGACATATTGAAAAGCGATGCTTGAACCCCTCACAAAAATTAAATTCCCAAAAAATAAGAATAAAGAGGAAAAAAATGGATGAATTTCATAGAAAAACAGCTGCTTTTTCAGGAGAAGCAGCCGCGGTTGAAACAGCAGCACAAGTGATCAATGGCTCGTAGTGGTCGGCCCCTGCCCCGCACCAACCTGCAAAAATTGATAATACCCCTTGTTGTCAAAAAAACCCCTTTTCCAGGTCATCAAAGTCGGAGCTGTGCTCCCTTTTTGAGAGTGTTGTTTTTGGAGGTACCTGTGCCTCTCATGAGGAGAAAAATGGGGGGCTCTGTAACTAAGCCCTTGGGCTTGTGAGGAAGAAAAAACATGCACCCTTCCTCGTCCGAAAGGCCATCAGAGCCATGAGCTTGAACCTATACACACCAAGGAGTTTTGATTTTTTTTCAGAGAAGCAACCAAAAAAAAAGAGGCCAAGAAGAGAAATAAACCCGAGAGAGAACAAAAGAAGAGACTGAAATAAAGCAGAGATATGCTCACCACGAAAATCTCTCTCTTGAATTCAGTGGCCAAAGCTTCAATGGCGATATCATCCCCGAAAGCAGCTGCCCTTCCGTCTTTGTTCTCGTCAATGGTTAGAAGACCATCTTGTGTATAATGTATAGAGATTATATCATATTCATCTTCAGAGCTTCCTGATATACACATGTATTTGGCCCAGCTTTCGCCATTCTCGACATTTACGCATCTTTCTCTATATACAGTCTCAGCAGCTGCTTCCCTGGCACAAAGAAACACAGGCATCAATAAATTTAGGCACAAAATCATGAGTGAGAGAGCTATTTGAGGCTTTCAATCCCGAAAGAACTGTTTATAACATTTTTAGAGAGAGAATGGTGACGTGAAATCCCTGTAAAAACTCCACTGATGACCTACATTTCCCTATTGAAGAAAACCCACAACAAACATTAGGGAAGTGGAAATTCAAGAGAGAGGGAATATATTTGTGTTTCAATCCCTGCAAAAAAACCAATGAAATTAACCCAAAATTCCTATGGACTATAGAGTGAAGCCACAAAAAGTTTAGCAAAAATACAAGAGAAATCAAACCACCAAATTAATCCGAATTCCAAAATCATTTTACACTGAAAATATCCAGAAATTCACAAGCATTATGCACACACCTCGACAGTCCAACCTGAACCAGATCTTGAATTGACTTCTCCAGCTTATTGCGATCCTTTTTCAAGGCCAAAAGCTTGATCTCCTGAACAAAATGAATCCCCCACCCCTGATCAAGATCAGGCCTATACATATTCTTGATAGACTGGTCTGTCTTATCTTTTGGCCACAAACCCGCATCATAATCCTCTCTAAATCTCTCCACCACTCTTTTTCTAAGCTCAATCTCGGACCTGTCAATCCCCAAAGCCTTTTTAGATGCAGAGAAAAGGCAATTCCCATCTGTTTCGACCTCGCCACCATGAAAGAGAAAAAAGAGCTCAGAGGTTGGCTTTGTTGGGTGTCTCCAGCGAACCCCATGAGAACCAAGTTTTCGAAGAGCTAGCCTTTGTTGGGTTTGAAGGCCTGAAACTAAGTCCCAATCTTGGCCTGAAATTTCAGGTTTTTGGCTGGAAAAGTGACCGGAATAGGGAGAAGAGTGGGTCCAAGAAGTAGGATTTGGAGGAGAAATTGGTTGAAAAGCTTCAAGGACTGAGCCCTCACAGAGCTTCCCCATTGCCTGAAAATTTGGGGAGAGGAGGCCCGATTCATGGTTTGTTTAAATGAGGAAACAGAACCGAAGAGGGACCTCGTTTTGTTTTTTTTTGTTTTTTTGTTTTTTTGTTTTTTTTGTTTTTTTTTGTATATTTTTCATTCTTTATGTGAATATAGGAAAAGGATTGTGTAATTTTTTTTTGTAAGTGTTTTGCTTTAAACTTAGGAGTGGTGAATTTTTTATTCATTTTCCGGTTTTTAATGTTTTGGATTTTGGGTTGTGTTCGTAAAAGTAACCGTTACCAGAGGAAAGGCGTTTCAACGGTCAAAAATTGTGGTGACGTGGCAAGTGGGGTTAGTGGTTGTAAAGGTTGGCCAAGCGTTATGCACGCAATATCCGAAGTGGGCGTTAGAAGGCTAGTAATTTTCTTCTTCTTTTTTTTTGTAATAATAATAATAGAGCAATGATCTCAAAGCAACGGTTGTATGATAGTATAATACAACGATATTTCTAGAAAACTATATTTGTAGTATTTATATGATCCTAAATTTGCACACATACTTTCTTCATCTCAATAGTCAATTCCCTTTAAAAAAAAAAGTTCAATTTGAACTCTAGATATGGTCAAAATAAGTCTCTTCCAAAAACGAATCTAAACTATTCATTTTGTGAATTTCAAGATCTTAGCTTTTATAAATTTAAAATCATTTTCTCCTTTTTTAACATTGTTCATCTAATGATAATAAAGCCATCCAAAAAAATTGGAAATGAAAAACACCCTTCTAAATCCTAGATCTAAGCATCTCACCAAAATGAACGGTCTATGTTAATTGGGCTAAAAAAATGCTTTTTAAGTTGTGTTTTCAATTTTTTTTTTTTCGTGATTGTTCATTAGAATGAAAATAGTGTATATTTCAAAATTTAGATAAAACAAATGGCTATAAGATGGTTTTTTCAGGTTGTTACATCATTTTACTATACAATGGTTGCATGAAATCATTGGCCATAATAATAATACTAATAATAATAATATTATTATTATTATTATTATTATTATTAGAGAAATGATCCTATAAGATCCTCTCCATCTATGTGTGTACAATCTCAAAAGATTACTATTAAATTTGGCACGGATCTATAAAAAGTTAAGTCTCACACCTATGTGATAACTTTTCTAGAGATCCGTATCAACTTTAATGGTAATCCTTTACAGTCCTACATACATAAATGGGAGATGGTCCTATAGGATCATTATTCTTATTATTATTAGTATAGTAATGATCTTATGGGACCCTCCCCCACCCATGTAGAGGACCCCAAAGGATCACCATTAAAGTTGACACGGATCTATAA